CTTTATGAAGCTTTTCTTCTAAGTGTTTGATCTTGTCCTGAATTTGAAGACAAGCATGATTTGTCACACTTCAGTTTGCCATGCCGAATCAGAAGTCTGAAGTAGCTTGCAATTGTAATTTGGGATAAACCAGGACTGTAGGAATTTTTAAAGCCCAGACTTAAAAAAAAGACTCGTGCAAATGAAGCCAAGGTGGCATTCAGTCAGGTATGCTTTACGATCTTAGCTTTAACAGGGGAAACTTTTGCAAAACTCATCACTATTAAGAGCATGCCATACAAATTATTTCAAATTAATGTCTTTCAGACTGTCATTCCATGCATGCTTACTTCTGCAATTCTCTGAGTAGCAGTAAGTTTAAGACACTTTTTTTTTCTTTCTCTAGTATTTCAAGCTTTTCAAGTTTTGCATGCAGTTCCAACCAGTTCTGATCTTCCTCCTTCTGAATCTGGGCCTGGAAAAAAGCAAGCAAGAATGGAGTGGGCAGCTGACTGAAATAGTTTCAGACAGCAAAAAAACAAACACAGTACAGTAAAGGTGCTTAACTAGTTTAAATTTAATATTTTTAAATTGCAAAGTGATGAAAAGTAACAGGCAGACAAAGAAGACTTAAGTTTCCAGCAGCCTTTTTGTCTACCAAACGTGCAAGTATTAGCATGGTTTTGCTCATCAGGGGTTCCACCTAGGGAGTCTGTTCATACATTTCATTGAACAGTTGTCATCAGCCAGTCAGACAGTAAATTGCTTCTGTTTGTTACCACCCCGAGCAGAGCTGAGGAAAAATGATGGCCATAATAAAGTTCAGATCTTACACATTTCTATACTTTTTAACTATACCATTATTTTGTCAGTATGCTAAAAGACTTCACCTGTTGTTTTAAAACAATTTTCTTTTCCAGTTCTGCACTGGAAACCATTTTCCTCATGTAATCCAGCTGTTTCTCCAGCAGGGAGCAGCGAGATTGTGCTGCGTTTAACTGCACACTTACATCTACAGAGAGAAACAAAGACATTCAGTACAGCAATCGGAGGGAGCTACACATTTAGCCAGTCTGTCATCTCATTGAGGAATTCCCTATCTTGAAAACATGCAAGAAAAGTTTTGTTAGTCTGAACAAGTCATATATAAAATATATTTAACCACATAAGACATGAGAACAAAGATGTTTTTCCAGAGCTAGTCCCTAATATGAATTCCAAAGGTGTGAGCACTGCAGTTACTTTGATTTATATCAGCAGATAACCAAACAGAATCTGGTTTCTTCGCTTCTCCTCACTTCTCTCAAGTTAGCAGTGTTACACATGTAAGCAGCTGCTTGCTTATTGTAGGAGTTAAACATACCTCCTGAAATCTGCTTATTCTTTAAAACAGCTTTATGGATTATGCAATACTTGGTTAATATACATAAAAACAAGATCTCAATTTGATTCATAACTATCAGGCTCCTGCCTCTCCCCAGTTCTGAAGCAAAAAAGAAAGGGGGGAGTGCATTAATTAGCAGTTTGTCAAAATAAACAAACACTCCCTGGATTATGCAGTCTCGGAGTTGCTGTGGCTACACCTTATCACTCAAGAGAAATACCTTTCCTCTGTTGCATCAGTTCTTGATGTGCTATGTCCTTTTTGTAGGATTCATGCTCTAAGGCCTTCTTATACTGAGCTGCTGCTATGGAGAGGCTGCACAGATTATCTTCAGCTTGTGATTTCTCCAACTCTAGATGGCGGATCTTTTCTTGAAGAGTTTTCAGGGCTGCCACCACAGCTAGCAAACAAGGCAACAGTTACACTTTAAGTAACAGTTCCTATTATTATTATTACTACAAAACACTTCAAACATCAAAATACTACGTAAATGTTCTTCCTAGGATCATCCCTAAAATGAATTATATTCCCCAGCAGTACACTAACACACACAGAACATACCTGGGAGAAAATGGACATGTTTATTGCATAACTGATATATAAAGCACAGGTCCTATGAGCAAAACTATTTTCACTTCAAATGGTAGCAAGCACAAAGAAATTGTTGCAAACTCACTATAACAAACCCTGGGACTTCTGTTTACACAGAAGCAGGGAACACAGGTATACAAGGTCACAAGTTTCAGCATAATGCAACTGGTGTGGACAGATTAAAAAAAAAAACCAAAACAACAGACTCAGGACAGGGGGGAAATCAGATACAAAGGCACATTTTAGTAAAGGATGCACTTTAAAAACTTTATTGTTTCGAAAGGTAATGATTCAATGTCTAATTTCTTGTATTTGATGATTCCTTAAAACATAGAACCAAGTCTGCAAGGTTTTGCTTTTAGCCTCAAATCAGTACGTGTTAAAATTATGACAAAAATAAAAGTTGCAATTTTAGCTACAAGGAAAAGTCTACTAGCTCTCTGAAAAGGATATACAGCTGTGGAAGTTTAAGACATGTTCTGTAACAAGTCAAGCTTCTTTTCTGACATTTTATAAGCCTTGATAGTATCCCTATACCAATTATCTCAGTAAAGGAATACCCAGCAAATATTGCTAGCTCCGTAACAACTCTAATCAGCTTACCATAGCCCTGTTAGAATAAAATTTAAAACAAAACAAAACAAAACAAAACAAAGAAGCAGCAAAAAGCAGATAGCAAAGAGCAGAAAGATGAAGTGGAACCACTTCTTCCATCTTTCTATTAGCATGGCAAACATTTCCTTACTTAAACACTTAGTTGCATAACATTAAACTGAACATTTTAATCCAAAAAACTCAAACTCTGTATGACAAAAGATTACTACAGAAGTCACAGATTCTTCAAGTGTAGAACAATGATCACACGCACACACATAGGCTATGTCTGTGTAATGTTGCAAAGTTATCCATGATAGTAAATCCAAGTATGGTATCCTTGTGATTCACTGAGCTCTCCAGATATGCTAAGCAATCGAGCATTTGCCCTATGAGCTCCAGAGAGTCATCACCCATCAAGGCACACAACAACCCATATTTCATACAGATTAACTTCCATGCTGCATTATTCAAAAGTCCTCCCAAGGAATCATACCACACAAAAAAAAACTTAGAAGTGATTTCAAGCTAGAGGGAATCAAACAGCACTACACAAAGTCAATTTCAACGCAGCATACCATACTAATGATCTTTTTTTTGCTGTATTTAAAGTCATGAACTGCTTCTGCTGAGTTTGAAGCATTCTCCTTTGCTTTCAGAGGAAGTCTGAGGATTTTAAGTTAAACAATTTTCAAAGCCAAAGTTTATAAGGACTTGCAGCAGTTTCCATTCCAGACATATGACTTCAAGGAGACTACTCCCTCAGGACGTATATACATCCTGTCTCAATGTCAGTCTGGTAATCACAGCAAGTCATTGAACTGAGCAGAACTGAACAGGGAGTTTGGTCAAGGTATTTCACAAGGAACAATTAAAAAGACTACTTTAAGGACATATTTTGGCTTTACCTTGGTTATTGGGGATAGAAGGCCTGTCACCACCAACAGCTGCCAACTTCTTTGATTCTACATAAGCAAAGGCTGCAGGAAGCATCTTATCTGGTGGCTGAAGAAAGCTTCCTATGAAACTGTTCTTTGATTCAGAATCCATAGCCTGTAATACTCAAGACATGCACAGTGAAACTTCCAGAAAGTGATTTAGTCTAATACCTCTGGGAAGTTAAAGCAAGTTTTAAATCACTTTGCAGCTGCCTAGAAAACTAGTACAAAGCATTTAACTTGATCCAGTGTAAGAAATGAAGAGTATATACAGCTTCAGCTGATAGAAAAAGAGGTTATTTGAAGGTTTAATGATATAACAACTATGGTATCACTCTGGTTTAAAATACAGGGCATGTAACTGGAACAGGCTTCCCACTTGGGCAAGGCTATCTACAGATGCTAGTTCCCAAGAAAGTCACCCAAAGGAGGTATCTAGTAACTGGAGGAAGAAACCCAAACCAAGTCTGGAACCTGTTGATGAAGCACACCCCAGGAAAAGCCGTTCATACTGTGTGGGCAGGGATGAAAGTTTTCAATAACAGAAAAAGTTTCCAGGAACAGCTCTTCCAGCACTGTTTCCAAGGCCGTATAAAATAGAAAAATCATCATCCATCCACACCACCTCTTCAAGATATGCACTAAACCAAAGGCACACAGAAATAACTTCCTTCCTCCTCCAACTTGTCATCATGGAGACATCAATATCTGCATCTCTTTGCCAGGGCTTGCTTGACTTGGCGCCTCCCAGACACCGCTGCTTTTGTGTGCTAACACCCTCAGGGCAGATCCCACAGTTCAGGGTGGCCCCCCTGGCACTGGCATGGCCCCCCCGGCACTGACACAGCCCCCCAGACCCACAAGAAGGGGGCTGCCCAGGCCACCTTTGCCTCACAGGCCTTTTCCAGACAGTTCCCTGTGGGGCCGAGACGCCATCCTGCCCAGGCCCAGGCCCAGGCCACAAGCTCTCGGCGCTGGGTCAGCAGCTGCGAGAGGTCCCACCTGGTGACCCTGCCACATTTATGGCCACACAAGCCATTTATGAGCCTCCACAGCTCCCTCCTGGAGGACCAGTATAAACCACACAGGGATGCCCAAATGACTCTAACGGCCAGCTATGCCGGACAGGCACATCGGCCACCTCCAACAGCACAAGGGGCAATGGCAGTGAAAGGCATGGAGCAGGGACAGCAGAAGTCTCAATATATGGATGAGAGAGTCCTGTGGCCACAGCCAGGGTCAGGGCTGACAGGAGAGGACGCAGGCCTGGCATGGCACAGTGCACTAGCACAGTATTCCACAAAATAAGAAATAAGCCAGACTTACCAATTTTCCCATTTCTTCTCAAGCTCTACACATTGGTGATAAAAAAAGACTAGCAAAGCCCATACAAATACACATATGAGCACGCAACAAGCTTCCTACCGCTGCTGTGAACAGAAGGCGGCAACTTTGGAAACTCCAGAGGAAGAAGGTGGTTTTTGCTCACGCCATCTAACCTTTTGTCAGTCAGCATAAGCGAAGACCTGCTTTTCCAAAGTCCCCTGGTGGAACATGGCTCCCTCGCGCGCCTGCAGCTGCCACTCATCAATTAGTTTCCTTATTACTGCCACATAAACAAGCTCTGCCGTTTCCAAGGAGATGGGTTTGTGGACAGTTGTAAGGAGGGTGGAGATCTGAAGCAAATAACAAATAAGAGAGGGAGGGAATAAAGCTCCAGAAAACTTGTGCAGACACACAATTTTGCCAGCACAGCAGAGGGTAATATGCACCCTGTGGCTGGAGGGAGGAGCTCCCCAAACTACTCCTAAGAGCACAGCCTCAGCAAGGGGTGTGAGGGAATACAACACCACGCCACCAAGACGCTTGTGTTTGCAGAACCTCTGCTGTGGACATAGTTATGGACACCTTGCTTTGCCACAGCCTCCCCAGACACAGAGGCTATGTCAAGGAAGCTGAGGGAACGGTTGCTATAGTGCTTGGAGGGTCTGCCAACCTAATTACTCCAGTAAGGGTGCTATGGTGTAGACAAGTCCTTTAACATCTTAGCAGGTACATACAGTTTATAATAACCATCCTGCACAGAAGTAATCTCTACAACACACGCTGCAGGCCTCAGACAAGGACATGGGCCAGGAAAAGGACCAAGCAACTCTACACCAGCAAGACATCACCAAACATCCTGACTGCTAGGACAAGAAATCTATCAGGAAATAATTAAATGGCTTGACATATGTTTGGACATCACCTGTCCTACCATCACCTTTTTTCTCCACAACTATTTAACTTCCTATAAAACTATCACAGACAGGTTTGCTTTTTAAAACAGGTTACATGTCCCACAACCATTGCAAGCTTAACCTACCACTCTTCAATTCCACGCTACCCTGGATGCTGGTACACAGCCCAAAAGAGGTGCTTTAATACAGATACTGCATCCCAAATGGCAATGTTTGTACTAATGTAACTCCATGAGGCTTAGGGGGATTTAACACTTGAACAACACTTGTTAAAGCAGCCAAAACACCGTTGTTTAGACAAGCCCTGGTTGAGGAAATTAGCACACTCGTTGGAGTCTGGGGAACAACCAAGGGAGAAGTATGCATATTAAACAGAGGCTGACAAAATACCCTGGTTACAGGTGGAGGGGAGGAAGAAGGAAGAAACGCCCCACTCCCACCCCTGCAGTCTGCACCGCTGTGGTGAGCGGGGTGAAGCACTTGCATTGTGCAGGTCACATCTGGAGTCACGGCCAGCCTTTTGGGTTTTTTAACCAGAACTGACCCAGCCTGCATTGGTGGATGCAGTGGTGATGGTCAGATGCCCAGTGTTATTTTACACATGAAAACACAAAGCAGCCATTTCATACATACCCTGCATCAAGCACTGGGCAATTTAGTGCTGCCTATAGGCCTGCTGTTAACTGTTAGCCTGGCCTGGCCACCAATGTTGTCTCCAAGCCACATCCAGGAGGCTCCCGGGGTGCAGTGCCACATAGTTGCAGCACTGTGCACAATGTACGGTGCCAGGCATCGCAAATCAGCTCTGTGACAGCACTGCACTAATGCAATTACACTGCCCACCTCCTACCTTGTTGCAGCCTGTGTGCTCAGCCCTTGGGTGAGAGGATGAGTAGAGTTGGTCCCTTCAGCGGGACCACTTCTGCCTGTGGGCTCACCTCACGTGCAGGCTGGGAGCAAACTGGCACAAAGGCTGTTGGGAAGCAAGCCCATTCTCGGGTCCGTACCAGTATATGTGACTTTCATGCCTCAGAGGAGAGCAAGCAAGCTGGAGTTTGGTACCTTAAGACAAACAGAGAATTTCCCATTTCATCATCGTCATATAAATACTAATGTGATTTACCTTTACACTATGTATACTTATTTTTGCTGAATATGGCCTGCATTGAGTGCCAGAGTACTGGATCGGGCTGCTGTAAAAATCAATTGAAATCTTAATTACTGCTGCCTAGCACAAGTAAGCATGCCAATAGTAGGGATTTATTGAACACCACTGAAAGACCATTTATTACTTCCTCATCTTCCTCCATCCTGTTCCTCCCCTCCATTACTAGCCACATCATTAAAAAAGTTTCCAAAAAAAGTTTCTTTTGAAGTTAAAAGTCAAAAAATACTTTGCCACATATACAATTATGTCCCATACTGTAAAGCAGCATATGGAAAAGCTTTTTCTACATGTGAATTATAGCAGATTCTGGGAATAACGCAGGCTTAACAGTTTCCCAAAAATACATGCTAAGGCAATAACGTGATGATGTAAGCGATGCTTCCAATAAGATCTCCAATGTTTGTTATCTTACAGAGATCCTGGTTCATTCAAATTGCTGTGAGGGTAACTTTTAGAACCAGAAAGAGGTGCTGTTAGAACACCTTCAAAGCTTAAAAAAGAAAAAAACAGATCAAAGCATTCTTCAGAAAGAAATACAAAGATATCTATCTTCTGACCTGACCTACTGAGCATACACAATTTTTAGTTGGGTTTTTTTTTCATAACTGGAAACAAAGTCTCAGATTAATCAAGGAATGATTCACTGTTTATCTGACATATTATAAGAGAAATCTTAAAGAATTGCCCCAACACAGCTAAACCAAGAAACTCACAGAATGCTGGCTGCCGCCTCATCTATTTGAGCCAAGCCCTGCTGGTGAAAGGTTATGTGAGAAGCCATTTTTGTGACACAATCCAAATTGGTCTATTTTTTTCCCCTTTCACTTTCCTTTGAGAATCAAGGAAAAAGCTTGGTCAGCTGTACTAGTTGTGCTGCAATGCTCTTTCAGCCTTATTCCCAACAGACAAAGAACAGCCTTTCCACTGACAAAAAGAAATAAATAACGTTGTAGGCAAACTGCATTGTTGTTTTGGGAACACCCAGTCTCTAGCATCCTGACACAACTGCTTTAATCAGCCTGAAACATATGACCTTGCTCAGGACATAGCTGGCACTCATGTGCCTTCTTTAATCTAAGTGAGTTAGGAATGAAGTGGTGACAGCTGCAAAACCAACAGGAAGTGAAACCTCACTGAATCAATAAGGCATTTCAACGTGGTTTTAAGTTCCTTCGAGTCCCACTTTAAAAGAATTTAGAACAAACGACTAAAATTTGTTAGAGCAATTAAGGGACTTGGGAGCTTTTTGAAAAACTGACACAGGCAAATCCATGGGAGTTAGCTTGTTGTACAAACTGCGGGACACAAACTGACAGTCTCAGAACTGGATATACAACATTTAAGTGCCCAGTTTCTTCCTTTGATACTATTGTAGCAAAATCTATTCAGTCCTGAATTTCAAGTCTCATGCAGAACTTTAATACAATCATTTGTTTTCATTTTTTCTTGGAAGAAAATGAAAACAAATTACATTCTGTGCTTTCTCATGACACTGTACGTACTGTGAAGTATGATAAAACCTGGTATTTTAATGAAAAAACCCCACCTCCTAAGCCATTTGTTTCATTGTGTCACACCTTCTAAGCATTCATACTGACATTTCTCTAGTTCCTGTTTGCTAGAGATAGAGAGACAGAGAAGTAAAAAGAGGAAGAAAGAAAATGGAATGAGTTATAGAAGTACTTTGGGAACAAGGCAAACACA